GTTCATAGTGCTAAGTGTGTAATTTTATCTTCTCCGTGATGCTTACAAGGTATTGTTTTGATTATCCCCATTTTGCACGAGAAAGTACCAATAGAGAGGCTGAGTCATGGCCCCAGGTTTCTCCGCCAGGAGGCGGGGGGCCGGGATTGAAACCTCACATCACCTGCCAAAGCCACGGTTGCCACTCCAGTGGTCACTGGAGTGGGCACCATGCTCATATGGATTCCCTCCTTTGACCAGCTGGAGGCGTGTGGGGTCATTCTGCAGCTCGTGCAACCGTGAAACCCTCCCGAGGCTGTCACAGTGTCGGTTATCCGGTTTTTGCCCCACAAGTGTGTTGAATTGGAATGGATTTGGTTGAACTGTCAGTGAATTGCTTGTAGTTGTAAAGGTGTAGATGGATTAACTTCCTCCTAACAAGGGCTGTTTGTCTAGCGCTTCATCATTTTGGAGACTTTTTCTTCTCTTTTTCTTTTCATTGTGGGGTGGCAGGGGGATGTTCTTCCTGCCCTACTCCCCAGCTTTATTGAGGTATAACTGACAAAACTGTGTACATCTGAAATGGAAACGTGATGATTTCATATACATGTAGATTGTGAAATGATTATCACAAATCAGTTAATTAACATACTCATCAACTCACCTATTATTCACCATTTTTTGGCGTGTGGTGAGAATGTTTACGATCTACTGTTGAAGGCCCTAGCAAGTACACAGCACTGTATTATTAATTGCGGTGTCCATGCTGTCCACAGGGTCCGCGGAACGTGGTCATCGTAAAACTGAACACGTGTCCCCTTGGACCAACCTCCCCGTGTCTCTGCCCCAAGCTAGTGTGTTCCGTTCTGCGTCTGTGAGTTCGACCTCTTTTCTTTTTTCAAGATTCCACGTTTCTTTTCATACTGCATTTGTCTCTCTGTGTCTGACATCATAGCCCCCTGGTTCATCACTGTTGTAACAAATGGCACTATTTTCTTCTTTTTACGACTGAGTAATATTCCATTGTCTGTATAGAGACCGCGTCTTCTTTATCCATCTGTTGGCAGATGCTTGGCTAGCTCCTGAGCCTTGGCTGCCGTGAACCATGCAGAGAACACGGGAGTGCAGGGGTCCCTGAGATCCCGGTTTTGTGGAAACCCTTTATTTCCACCATGTGCACTGACTCCCCATGGCAGAGACAGGATCGGAGGGAATGGTGGATGAGCCTGAGGCACAGACAGCTGGTGCTTTGTGCCCAAGACCTCGTGGCTGGTGACCTGAGCAGGGACATAACCCCTGACTCGTAATTCTCCACACATTCCCCTACTTCCTGACAAGCAGGGAGAAAAAGCCACCAAAGAGAGAACTGAGGGCAGCATTAGGGATGAGCGAGTTGCTGCAGTCAGAACCATGGGTCCCTGCGTGGTTGTCTTTAGAGGACAGGAGGAGTGGGGAGCAGAGTTTGCTTTTCCGAGAAGGGAGGATGCTCGAGAGCGAGAGAGATGCAAGAGCGGGGAGCGGAAGTAGGTCTGGACAGAGAGGAAGGTGTTGCTTCGGGTCATTGACACATGAGGGTAAGGATCCTGTGATGTGGGTTCTCAAAGGCAGCGGACAAGATGAGTGTTGGGAAATGGGTCTCCCCTGGTGAACAGGGAAGGTGGTACATGGACACACACCAGTGACAGACAGGAGGCAGGTAAAGCCAGGGAAGGAGGTATGCTCAGGGCCTGACTTTCTCTTTGAAGACCCTTCCCGAGATTGGTGCCCACGTGCGTGGGAGTTGAAAGGCTTCTGTAAGTGTTGGGGGCCTGTCCTGGCCGAGGAACATCATCTGTCAGCATTGAAGACGTGCTTGTGGGTGCAAGGGAGAAATTCACGGTCACTCGGATGGGTGGCAGTTTCCGAATTCTTCCGTAGACGCCAAGCAGCTTGCGTGGGACAGCCGAGAGGGTGAGTGGAAGGTGCAGGATGCAGAGATGTTGCGGATGACTTTACAGATGCCGGGAAGGGTGGCAGGCAGATAGGAACTCGGAGGCTCTCTGTGGGGGGCAGTTTTGCTCGTGGGGTGCAGCTTAGCATTGTCCAGTGACCAGCAAGCCCCACAGCGAGGACTTCTGCCATCTCGAGTGCCGGTCATGCCAAGGCTGGGAAGCCCTGTTAATGACAGCAATAAGCTAAGAACCAATCATCGTTTCTTTACATAACAAATCATTAATAGCAGAAAAATACAATTAAAATAATAAGGGTGATGAGCGCCTGCTCCCAGTATTTCTTCACAGAGCTGACTCGGTAGAGAACTAGGCAAAGCACGTAGAGTGCCTGCACGCACTCAGAAAGCTGGGGTTTTGCAGTAGGAAGTTGTATTTATTTATTTTCTATATGAAGCGAAGTGTGAAAAGACTAAGGAGTTGGGAGCACGTGACCGCAGGATTGTGGCTGTCGGCTTCTCTGGGTGTGAACGCCCCCCGTGGCATCCTTGCGGGGACGGGAGGTTAGTGAGCATACTCTTTTATATGTCGCTGGTATTAGTTACGGCTTCACAAGGCGTTCAATCCACTTAGGGACCCCTGCCGTGCCAACCCTCCGCATTCCGTGGGCATCCCTAACGGGGGTCTTTAGTCATCCTCAAAGCTCTCCTGTGTGTCACTCCTCATGCTGACAGATGGATGCTAATTTTGGAATCCTTCTATTACCCATAAATCCTTCCAGCCATCTAAAACACAGGGTACCGTCCTCATTAATCTCCTCTTTGGTGGAGTTGGAGCGAGGCGTTGTTAATGGAGCAGAGACAACGTCGGTACTTTGTCTCACGCGGCTGTCATGGGTCCTTGTTTCCCCAGCCACTGCCCTCGTGGGGTCCCCAGTGTGGTTAGGAAAGAGAGCATCTTTCCAGCCTCGTATCCACACAAGTTGTCAGTCATTGGTTGCTCATTTGCTCCGTCGCAGAGACCGCCTGACGTCAGAGGCTATGTTCAGAGAGGAGAGAGTACGGAGAACACGGCTGCGGAACGTGGCCGGACACTGTATGGCCTTATGTACTGCACGCCTCCCTGCTGTCCCCATGGTCCAGGGGGCCAGGCCTCTCCCTGGCCGGGCAGCCTGGTAAACGGCATCCCCACCATAGCCCCCGCCTCAGCTCTGGCTCTGAATGGACAGGAACACGGGCTTGGGGCTGAGAACCACTCGGACGGGGAGCAGAGTGGGGAGGGAGGCAGATGCCAGATGAAGTGGGAAGCCGACGTCCACCCATAGAGCTGAGAATGTGATTCCAAGGAGGTCAGGCTTTTGGTTCCAGTGGGACAGGAACACTGACCCCCACCGCCTGTCCAAGAGAGGGCTAGACAAGGATGGAAGATGGCAGAGCAGGAGTGGGGTTAGCCGAAGACAGGAAGGAAGTCCCTCCCTGACTGTGGATGCAGAAGCCAGCAGGAAGACTGAACTTAGCATCCCAGGACCCAGAAAGGGCCAGAAAGCAGAAGCTCCAGGTTGTTCTGAAGATGGGGTCAGGAGTGAGGGTGGAAACCTGAGGATGGTTTGCACATCTGTGTGGAAGAGATTGGATTTCTAGGTCCCCGTCCGAAGGCTACAGACCTGGCAGGTCCCCCTCGTCAGCCAGCCCCGGGAGGGAAAAGGCTGGGTCATTGGAGAATGTGCGTCAGGGAGGCTCTGAGCTCGGGGCATCAGGCCCAGCTGGGACACAGGGAAACGAAGGGTTGGATCGAGGCAGAGTCATTAATGTCCGTGTTGGGAAGGGAGGGCAGCCAAGTCCTCACCCCACTGCAGTCCCAGAATGCGGCCCGCCAGAGGGACCTGGCCCCAAGCAGGAGATTGAGGGGTGCTCCGTGGAGACACAGGTCAGGAGAAGAGGCTCCCAGGTCCTGACAGTTCATCCTACCCACACACACGCAGGCCTTCCCTCCGGCTTCCCGTGTCCTACCCTTCAAGGGGAGCAGACCACCAGGAACCCCGGGTATCTGCGAGCAAAGTCTCTAACACGACACAGCCCAAAACATGAGCACCAGCACGTGGCAGGGACTGTTCTGTGTTGTAGGACGGAGCAGTGAACAGACACACAGCATACAGTACACCTGTTTCGTGTTCTGCGTGAATTGGTTTCCCATGATACTGTAACAAACTACCACCATCCTGGAGGTTTAAAACCACGCTAATTCATTTATGCTAACGTTCTGCAGGTAGGAAGTCTGGAGTGAGTCTTACGGGGTTGAAATGAGGGTGTCAGCGGGCTCCTTCGGGACTTTCAGCTTTAGCGGCTTCTAGAAGGCCCCTGCACTCCTGGGCTCTTGGCCCCGCATTACGTCACCTTTTACGTCGCTTTGCTCACCACGGACCCCTCCTTTGGTCCTGTCACCTACCGAATGCCCCACTGCCTCCCATTTGTGAGGACACTTACGAGTGTGTTGGGCCTAACTGGACGGTCCAGGCTCATCTCCCTACTGCAAGATCTGGAATGCCACGTGCAGAGGCCCCTCCGTCTGGAACGTCACGTGCTCACCGCTTGCAGGGATAAGGTTGTGGATTTGTGCATTTGCTCTAAGCGATTATCCAGCACCTGGGCCTGCAGCCTCAGCCATTGAACCTGGTGCTCCTTGAGTTTGGAAATATGTACCCGTGTTACCCTTAGAAAAAAAAAAAAAAAGAAAGATAATTTCAGAGAAGAGACGAGTCTGGAGTGCCTGTCCATCCAGGGCTCAAATAGAGAGCTTTTAGCGAATTATGGAGCTGGCCCCCCAGGAAGAGATGGCCCGTGATCTTGTTTGCATTTTTCCAAACAGAGCGTATGTTTTCGCATTGGGAAGAAATGGGAGGTCATTGCCGTCCTTGGAGGAAGAAGTGCTTGTTTTGGAAATAAGAGCATCACTTTCCTTGCCCAGCGATGCGTCAGCATGTGTTTGGAACACATATTGTGTGGGGCGGACGGGTTGGGGGAAGGTCGCACAAAAGGAGAGGGTACGCGGCACGCTGGCGTCCTTCACGTCCGTCTGTGTGCTTGGCCTTTGCAGGAAGATGAGGATCCGTGTCCTCCTCCTGCTGTTCCTGTTTGAGGCCCACAGCCACGCAGCCTCAAGGCCCAACTTCGTCCTGCTGATGGCCGACGACCTTGGCATCGGAGACCCTGGCTGCTATGGGAACGAGACGCTCAGGTGCGGGGACGGGCTTGCTGCGTGCAGAGCTGGGCAGCAGGGACATGAGCTCACGCGCACAGAGCGCAGAGCGCCTACACGTGTCAGAGCCCTTCCGGGCGCACAGGTTCACGTGGGGCTTTACGGAGATGCACACGGATACGGGCGTTAGGAAGGCGGGTGGGACGCGATCTGTTCGCAGAAGGTAAACCCAGAGGGACCGCTAGACAGATCTTCATAAGGACTCTTTCTTACTCAGATACTGTACTGCTTTGCACCCGTCCTCCTTCTCTCCTTTCCATTGCTTCCCCTCTCTTAGGCAAGTTTGTCTGTTGGGTACTGGCTCCCCCCACGGCCCCCGTCCCTGCTGGCCACCTCCATGCCTCCTTGCTGTCACCATGAGCAGCCAGCCTGGCCGGGTCAGGTAGCACAGGACAGATGCCAGGTTGGAAGCCTGCACAAATTCTCAAGTTCCAGGGGTCATTGCAATGGGGGGAGAAGCACAAGGGGAACTGGAGTCCGGGACAGAGGAGGGCGTTCTGTGTCTCACCCGTCTGCTCAACACCACGGTCACGACAGACGTATTTGGAGGGCCCCTTGATTTAAAAAGGAGAGTCGGTCCTTGTCTCATAGGATATTGGCATCAATACTGCATTTTCTCTTTATAATCATGGGGACACAATGTCATAAAGTGCTTCTGAGCCTCATCTTACCCACGATCAGTACAAACCGAATGGCGCGAGCCGGGGGCAGAGATCATTAGCTTTTACTAGAATTTCCTTATAAGATCTATGAATAATAATAGCATGTAGCAGGGGGACAGACGCGCCGGTGAGTGCTGTGGACGCCGACTGACTGTCACGGCCTCACGCCGGCTCCTCATCTTGTTTTCAACACCACACTGCAGCTTGGGAGAGTGTTGCATTTGCTATGTGTCAGGCCAAACAGAAAGCGGGCATCTGTTGTTCTTTGGAGGAGAACGCGGCGTGCATGTGTGTGTCCGTCCCGAGCTGAAGCTTTGCATCAGATTCTGCTTGTCGTGTTTGGAATGTGTGCTCACCTACACTTGCTAGACCTTGAAACACGTGGGCAAGGATGAGATTTCAGTTGGCCACGTACGTTTTCCGCCCCACCTTTGGCCTCATTCTGTAAAACGTGTAGATCTTACTTTTGGACGCTTCTCATACCTCTGTTGCTCCTAATTTAGTTCCTCTTATCAGAGTCGTGATCATTTCTTAAGTTTTGTTTATCATTTTTTTCAGTCTATTATTTTATTAATATTTATTTTTATTTAAAATCAGTCAACATATAGTGTATTATTAGCCTCAGGAGTAGTATTTTTTTTTAAGATTTTATTTATTTATTTATTTGACACAGAGAGTACAAGCTGGGGGAGTGGCAGACAGAGGGAATCAGAGAAACAGACTCCCCGTTGAGCAAGGACCCAGTACAGGGCTCAATCCCAGGACCCTGGGATCATGTCCTGAGCCAAGGCAGACACTTAACTGACTGAGCCACCCAGGCACCCCTCAGCGGTAGTATTAGTGACTCATCAGTTGCGTACAACACCCAGTGCTCATCACATCACGTGCCCTCCTTAATGCCCGTCTCCCTTGTACCCCATCCCTCCCCCGACCTCTCCTCCAGCAACCCACACTTTGTCTTTCCTACAGTTAAGAGTCTATTATGGTTCGTCTCCCTCTCTGATTTCATCTTATTTTATTTTTCCTTCCCTTCCCCTATGTTCATCTGTTTTGTTTCTTAAATTCCACAGTGGAATATTACTCAGCCATCAAAAAGAATGAAATCTTGCCATTTGCAATGACATGGATAGAACTAGAGACTATTATGCTAAGTGGAATCAGTCAGTCAGAGAAAGACAAATATGATTTTTAATACTATATGTATTCCTGAATTTCACTGAGATAATAGATAACCTTTCCTACTCAGGTGTTGTAATCAAAATATTTACAGTCACGTTTTAACATGCCATTTCTACCAGATCTCGAAAGAAAAAAAAAAGCGTACACAATCACAGTGAAGAATTCACGTCACAACGTACCCCACATCTGTCTTGTTCCATATTGGGTTCCAGTTTTTTATGAATTTCATTTTTCATTTTATATTTTGTCAGCTCACACCCCAAAGTAGTCAGATGTTTCAGTGGGCCAATCTAGGCATGAGGAGGTTTAAGTCAGGTACACAGATTTGGTCTTCTAAGCCTTCTAGATCTTGTGATGGAAGGCAGAAGCACCGTGGAAATGTGGAGTGTGAAATGCATACACTAAATTCATGGATGGGAGAGCAGGTGGACATGAGCAATGGAATGAGATGGCCTTCACCTTCAAGCTGTGCATTAGCAAGGGCTAGTCTGTGTGGGTGCTGGAGCAGGGCCTGCAGGCCATGTTGAACAGGATGCGTGCTCCAGCCTCTGGGCCTCTGTGTAGGAGGGAGCAGTTAGCTGTGCTTTCCCTTTATAGTGAGGAGCTGCTGTGATAGGATCTGTGTCCTACCCATGGACCAGGTCCCCTTACGGGACAAGGTTGGTGGTAGGAGGCCCGCGAGAATCCCATCTCTGCCAGGATCTGAAGGATGGAAGGTAGCCAGGCTGGCAGACAGGCAGGGGCTGCGTTCCCAGTGGAAGACGTGGGATGAGAGCTCAGCGTGGTCCCAGAACTGGAAGAGGTTCATTTCTGAATGCCTAGCAAGTGTGGCTTGACACCCCGACAGGATCGGCCAGTCCATTCCCAGAGCAGAGGCACCAGAATGCATCACCTATCCTTCTGGTAGTTTCCCTGGATGATTGAGAGGTGACCCACTATAAAATGCACAGTGGAAACTGCATGTTTCAAGGTCATCATGAATGACATGAGTCTTCTGTTCTAGGACGCCCAATATTGACCGGTTGGCTGAAGGAGGAGTGAAGCTCACTCACCACTTGGCAGCTTCACCCCTGTGCACACCAAGTAGGGCAGCGTTCATGACAGGCCGGTACCCCATCCGATCAGGTAACCCCCGGGCTCCATAGCCATGGCTGTTGTCCTCTTGGGGGCATCCCCGACCTCCTCTTTCAATAGGTCTTTTGTCCTGGCTTCAGGAATGGCATCTGAGTCCCTCGTGGGGGTGTTTATTTTCTCGGCCTCTTCTGGAGGACTTCCCACCAGTGAGATTACCTTTGCCAAGCTTCTCAAGAATCAAGGCTATTCAACAGCTCTGATAGGTATGTGCAGCTGAGGAGGGGGAGTCGAGGGCCTGGGCAGGGCGAGAGGGAGAGGGCATGATAACTGTCTTCTTAAGGATGACATCACTGATAACAGTTTGCACAACTTCACATGGGGAAGAAATGATTTCGATTCTAAATTAAAATGCAGTGCACCTATCTGGGCTATTTGAAAATAAAGATATGTGTCGTTTTGTGTGTGTGTGTGTATGTGTATGGATGGATGGATAGATAGTTAAATAGATGAGATTGATAGATAATGATGGATGGATAGATGGATGGACTGACGGATGTATGGATATATGGAAAGGTAGATGACATAGGTGATAGAGGCAGGAATGGATACATCAGTAGATGAAATGGATAATGGATGGATGATGGATGGATGGATCATGGGTGGTTGGATGGATGGATGGTGGATGGATGGATGATGGTTAAATGGATGGATGGATGGATGATGGTTAAATGGATGGAGGGATGATAGTTTGATGATGGTTAAATGGATGGATGGATGGATGAATAATGAATGGATGAACAATAAGTGGATGGATGGATGATGGATGCGTGGATGGATGATGGGTGTGTGATGGGTGGATGGATGGTGGTTAAATGGATGGATGGATGGATGGATGATGGATGGTGGATGGATGAATAATAAGTGGGTGGATGGATGATGGATGGATGGATGGATGATGGATGATGGGTGTGTGATGGGTAGATGGATGGATGGAGAGATGGATTGTGGGTGGGTGGATGAATGGATGATGGTTAAATGTAAGGATGGATGATGGGTGGATGGGTGGATGAATGGACAATGGTAAATGGATGGATGGATGATGGTTGGGTGGATGAATAATGAATGGATGAATAATAAGTGGATGGATGGATGGATGGATGATGGATGTATGGATGGATGATGGGTGTGTGATGGGTAGATGGATGGATGGAGAGATGGATTGTGGGTGGGTGGATGAATGGATGATGGTTAAATGTAAGGATGGATGATGGGTGGATGGGTGGATGAATGGACAATGGTAAATGGATGGATGGATGATGGTTGGGTGGATGAATAATGAATGGATGAATAATAAGTGGATGGATGGATGGATGATGGATGCATGGATGGATGATGGGTGTGTGATGGGTGGATGGATAGATGGTAGATGGATGGATGGATGATGGGCAGTTGGATAAATGGATAATGGATGGATGGATAGATGAGACACAGAGATGAGACAGATTAATAGATTGATAAATAGATAATTGTGAGTAGCCATACAGCATACAAAAGTACATATACACACTAGGCTATTGAACATTTTCATTTTATATATTAATACTAAAATTGTGTCAGACTTTTCTCAGTTGACATTCTCATTGATTTTATTCAATTGATAGGAATGATCCATTCTCCCTTTTTACTTGATAAACATAGGTCTATGCCGGTCATCAGATGACTCCTAAAATCTCTCAAAGAAGCAAAATGACCATTTTCTTTCCTCCCACCTCTTGTCATAAAACCCTCATCATATTTTTCTTTTGTTAGGCATTCACTAATTTAGTGGTGTAATTAACATTTTATAAGAAATGTTCATAGATGTTTAAAATAATTGCTGAGTTATGAGTGTGATTTCCTCATGCTTCAGGGGTAGTTTTTTGAGAAAGGATTCATTTTCACTTTTAATATTCAAGGGACAAAACCAAGTTGGTTCTACGACTTTAATTTTAAGGAAATGTCTTTTAAAGACACTTGTGTTTTTCTGTGTATTTTTGTCAACTGCCTATTAATTATGTCAGGTGTTTGCCTTTTGTTTTATTTTGTTATTTTCAGCACTAAGTTATTGTTTTCTGGTAGAGTGAGTAGTTAATACCCTGTTGTTTGTGGAAAAGGAAGTGAAACACTGTGGAGTTCTACAGAATAGGAGTTTGGCTAATAAATGTGCAGAGTGATCCCACTTTTCTGTGTGTGGGGATCAGAAGCTCACATTCAGGTGGGGGTGCTCATTGGGTCTAAACATATCATCCATTTGTCTTCTCAGGCAAGTGGCACCTTGGGACAAACTGTCACAACAAGACAGACTTTTGTCACCACCCCTTGAGCCACGGCTTTGACTATTTCCATGGGATCCCCATGACCAACTTGAGGGACTGCAAGCCCGGAGAAGGCAGCGTCTTCAGTGGAGGCATCAGGGTGCTGGTCTTCATCCCCCTTCAGATCATTGCGATCACGCTCCTCACCTTGGCGGTGCTCAAGTTCCTTGGGCTGGCCCATGTGCCCCCCGGGATCTTCGTCTGCCTTCTCTGCCTGGCCGCCATGATACTCGGCCTTCTGGTGTGCTTCCTGCATTACTTCCGGCCCCTAAACTGCTTCCTGATGAGGAACCATGAGATCACCCAGCAGCCCATATCCTACGACAACCTCATGCAGAGGCTGACGGCGGACGCGGTCCAGTTCATACAACGGTTGGTATCGCCTTTTATCCGGGTGCTGCCTGTTGCCACATGGTGCTTGGTGATTTCCATGGAGGCTGGAGAAACAGGGTGGTCCTTCTAGCCACGTTTCCCCTTCCCAGCTGCGGAGATTTCTCCAGCCAGGCTCCCGGGAGGAGGGGTGTGCACAGTGGAATGGCACGTGCAAGGAAGTGTGATGGAGTGGGCTCTCATCCGAGGGGCTCTGCCAGGTGTCCCTTACGTCCTGTGCTTCTGAAGCCAGGCCAGAAAGTGTCTTCCAGGTGATCAAAGGGGCTTCAGGTGTCACCACGGTCGTTACTCTTAAAGTGTGCATTGGGTGAGTATAGGTGTGGTTCTTGTGACAGAAACAACATAGGGAAGTCCAAACAGTCTGTGTAAATTTCTGAGCAGAACAAGTGTATGAGGAGCCTGGGTGGAGCGAAGGATCTCGTTTAGGTCGGTTAGGACCCCTTGGGTGCACAGTGTTGAAGGTTGCAGTGAGCAAAAGGAATAACCATCCACAGAGGGGTCGATGGCAGTCCTGAGTAGAGACTATCTCAAGAACACCTGCTATCAAAACCAGACATTGGGTGCACAGTGTTGAGGGTTGCAGTGAGCAAAGGGAATAACCATCCACAGAGGGGTTGATGGCAGTCCCGAGTAGAGACTATCTCAAGAACACCTGCTATCAAAACCAGACAAAACCATGTTGTTCCATTTGGAACTTTAGAGAAAGGTGGAAATACCATGTGAAAATCAGACACCTGGTCTGTGTGGTCAGTTGCCGGGCACATGCCGAGAACACGAGTTTCTCAGGCACCAAAGACTGGAGACACCCGTGGGTCCAAGCTACAGTGGCAGGAGGAAGGACGTAATGCGGTTCTGGACAGAAGGAGGAGGATTTTAAGCTGGTGGTCATGCTCCTGAGCATCTGTGGTCACCATGGGCACATGGAGGTACCGTTGAGTTAGTGGTGCCTACGTAAGCCTAACTCTTGGCCTACACAGCCAGAGCAGCCACTGCTCAGGCTTTGTGTTAGCAGAACCCAGAGGTGGTGAGTACTGAGGATTGCCAGTCTTACCTCTCTGAGATTCCGACTGTGGAGTGCTGAGAGAAGGCTTCATGCGCCCGGAGAGGGTCTAAACCCCACGTCTCCTAGGACACTCGGAGAAGTAACTGCAGCATGGTTGGGTTTTTGCAAAAGTCACAACTGTTGTTACGCCTGTAGATTTTTCCACAAGGGGATGCTGCCTTGTGATCGGGTGCAAAATCTAAGAACTTTATGAGGTATATGTTTTATATCGTCATCTAGTAAGATATACAGAGATGGTTAATAGAAACAAGGTTCTCTTCATTTTCTTCCAGCAGAGTGATCACTTCTAATACTTTCCATCTTATTGCACTGCGTTTTATTTTTTAAAAATCTCTCTGGCTGGGACAGTAAATCAGTGTCATCACTCAAGAGTGGGGCACAGTCCGCGTGGATGACGAAGCTCTTACCTCGTGGGTTAACCTCGCTGCGTTTTATAAGCAAGCGAACAGCCATTCCAAGATAGGATGGCGCCCTGCGGGATTGCAGACCTGTCCGTCGAAGCTCAAAACCCAGCAGTATGCTGTTTGCCAAATTTGCTAAAAGAGCTGAACGCTCACCTATTGGCCTGCATCTACCAGCAATCTCTCAGAAACATATGAGAGGAGATGAACAATACAGGGCCCCCTGCAAAAATCACAGGGTTCAGGAATCATCCTCGGCGTCCAGATGATTTCCTTCTCTCAAACATGCGGTATTTTGACAGAAATGATTGAATCTGTAGAGAATATGAATATTCAGATGATTGCAAGGCATTTTAATGGGTTCCTCAGCATGTGCCTTTGGGAGGGGACCAAAAGCAATTTGATCATAAGGGCCTTGAAGCCTGTGTAGTTGATCTTGATGATGTGGAGTTTCTGCAGTTTTGCGGCAGAACTAGAGATTTAAGACATTGTACCAACACCACAGTTGAACCTTGTGGTTATCGAGTTACTACAGGAGGGTTTATCCTTCACAACAGGTGGTTCCAGAGGAAATGCCTATTGCGAATGTTGACACAGCATGTGCATGGTCAGTATTAGTGAAAATACCGCATTTTTGTGTACCGTGTTGCTATTCATAGAAAGCTTTCTCCCTACGTCACCTGAAGATGCAAAGATCGAAAGCATCTGGATAAAACCATCCTTGGCTACATTTGTCATCTTGTGCGATGTGTGATATCTGATTCAGTCCATGGGATAGCCACGTATCTTGAGAATCCCCTCAATACATCACCAAAGAAACATAACAGTATTTACCAAAAAAAAAAAAAAATAGTATTTTGAGGTTCTGAAGACGCATTTATAAGTGTTGTGTCATTGGCCAGCATATCCTGAATAATGTAGGCAGGTCTTTACCACCTTTGTGTGAGAAACGGATTCAGACTTAGGAGCAGAAGGAAAATGACCAAAAGCCATGACAGTGCTTGTGAAATTCGTGCATTAACATAAAAGACTGTTTGGGGGTGCACAGTTCCCATGCAATTCCTACGTCGAGAGTAGTGAGGAAGATGATTTAAACTCTTACTTCTAAAATTTATCTTCTTTCTCTAAGCCTCGTCTCTGGAACGACTGACAGTGCAGATGTTCACGTGAGGTATGGAGTTGTGGATGGCAAGGGCGTGAGGCAAAGATGCTTCGTTGGTGGATGATGCTCTCACATGAGGTCTCCTTAGCCAAATTTGCTGCAAATGTGCGCCTGGAGTAAAGTGCACACTTCTGCATTGAAGAGAGCAGTGGTTTGGAATATATCACCGTGCACTCCATGGTGCCTCCTCCTAGTTTACTCTTTTTTTTTTTTTTTTTTAAAGATTTTATTTATTTATTTGAGATAGAGAGAATGAGAGAGAGAGAGCACATGAGAGGGGGGAGGGTTAGAGAGAGAAGCAGGCTCCCTGCAGAGCAGGGAGCCCGATGCGGGACTCGATCCAGGGACTCCAGGATCATGACCTGAGCCGAAAGCAGTCGCCTAACCAACTGAGCCACCCAGGCGCCCCTCCTAGTTTACTCTTAAGGATAAAATTTACCTTGGGGAGTTGCTTCTATGGGGAAGCTAGATAATTAGCTCACCACACCATGTTATGAGCTATATCGTAATGCAAGAGACAGGTCATCCTTAATGCAATTTAGTTAGCGAGAAGTCTGTGTTGCTCTTACAGGCAGGAATGAACTGTGGATTTCTAAGAGATTCCCAACCCTCTCTCTGTCCTGAGTGAAGGATCCTGCAGCCACCCAGCTTGCTCCCTTGGCCATCGGTCTCTTCCGGGCTCTGTAAATCAGAGCCAGCTCGGGTGCACAGTGCAAATGTTGGCTCAGCTTGGGACATGTTCAAGTGTAAGTGACCCTTGTGGAGTGCTTGTGCATGACCCGCTAGGGACTGGAGATACACACGTTACTGGGACCCATCTCACCACCCACATCACCTCCTTCTTGTTACAAAACATCCATACCAGATGGGAAAAAGAGATGTCTTCTGGTAGAGGAATTTGAGGCTCCACACTTTGGAGTGAATAGCCAAAGCCCTATGGTAATAGTACAGCATGGATCAGAAAGCACAGCAAAATGTCTGTGAAGGCTGTTTTTCTCAGTCGGAGTGGACCATGAAGACTCTGCCGACTTACCGCTTAGGTCTCAGTACAGAGGAGGTGGAAGAAGACCAGGGAAATTTACAGGTGGAAGCGGAAGAGTCCCGGTCTCATGCCCCAAAAGTAGAACGCATCCTGATAGTTCTCACGGGAGCTCTGATGTCCGTATCCTCATTACCATGGAGATGGAGAGGTATTTGCTTATTCTGAAAAGAAATCAGAGGCCGCACAGGAACAGGTGAATTCAGCGAGTTAATTTTATTCACAAAGTAGTTTTTCTTTCGCGTAACTGGTCAAGGCCACATTTTAAAAGGTTAATGGCAGTGGGTAGAATGCGAGCCGCGTTTCACATCGTCCTCGGCAGAGCGAGGTGAACCTTGGTCACTCTGCAGCACGAGGAGCCAGAAATGTTGGCCCCTTTCCTCCCCAGATACATCGAAAACAGTGCTTCGTGGCTAGGAACAACATTTAAGTTGAAAGAAACCGCTCTTTTTTTCTCTGCGAATATACAGATGTTCAGGCTGAAGAGGATGTTTTCAAGGATGATAGCTTTATACGCACCCACGTGATTTCTGTAGTTTATGATCTCCAGTGACTGGATTCATAAATTCCCGTGAACTTTACCGCAAGTGTTCTGTTGTCCAGGCCCCCACGTTAAACGCGTATTGAACAAATTCAGGATGTGTTCCATATGCATGGAACATATTCAACGTCAGCGATGTGTATTCTAAGAGGTTGTCAGTAGAAGTGAGATAAATGCTAGTAACTTTCAGTTACGCTTAGGATGGGATATGTCTTGGACCTTCAGCACTGAAGAGAACAAATACACAATTTGGAAAAGAGCTACAGTTCTATTTTTAATCACTGACTTCCTGGAGTGGTAAGAGCTCATTTTTGCAACTTTAACAAACCCCGATCCCTGACCGGTCCCCAGAGGGAAGTGAGCACGCCGTGGGAATGATGGAAAGTACGAGTCGTGGGGGGACGTGGCGTTGCCGTGCAGGGATTATGCCCTTACTGGAGGATAGTGATCATGAGCTCCCTCTGCCGTGTCCTGTCCTCTGTAGCTCTACAGGAAATCGAGACTTGCTCCTGCAAACATGGTTCATCGTAATGCCCTAAAACCTGGGACAGCTGGTAAACGTATCATCGGAAGACCTGCCCTTTCTTCCTGTCCTGCTGCCATCGGTATTGGGCACCGTCGGAATCCTGAAATGCATTTACAGGGTACCTTCAACCTAGCCTTTCACATCTGCAGCCAGACCGTGGTGTAAGTGGCCATAATGAATGGCTGTGATTCGGCCCAAAGCATGTTCCGAAGAAGGGGATCGTGGGAGGACTTTATTAGTTTCAATAAGC